GGCCAAGCTTTGTAAAAAAGTACTCCCTCCGTTCTAAAATAAGTGTCTCATCAACCTTAGTACAAAGTGGAGACACTTATTTTGGAACAGAGGGAGTAGATGCTTAGAAGTAAAAAATATCTAATTTTGTATTGTTCATCAGAATTCTGATAGCAAATTTATGATATTAAGGGGGCAGGACCGCTGCTGGCACCATGTCCCTGCCACTGATAACCTCTGAAAGTGTTCCCCCGCAAAAAAAAAAAGATAACCTCTGAAAGTAAATTGTGTTTGACAACGTAGTGGGTCCGCTAGAATTGCTGTAATAAGAAAGTGTCACGCCATGATTTAACATCTTGTGATTTGTACGATCAGTTTTGTTTGTACTACGTGACATCATTGTGGTAACTTGTGAGACAAAAAGTAGCCAGTTTTGTTTGGACGTGCACTGTGTTGCTTTCGGCCTTGGGCGAGGGTGCAGGAGAGTCAAGTCACGAAAGTACCTCACTCGTAGTCGTAGGACACTTTCTATCTCAACGCTTGCTTTCTATCTGAACGTCGGAAAGCTGCAGACATGACGGCGTCCACCTTATCTAGTTCCCCTTTTTTTTTCCTCCTGAGGAAGCATCTCCCGTCGAAGATCCCAGCGATCTTCTGACCTCGCCCACGAGGCCGCCGGCGCACGAAACATTGAGCGCGAACACAAAAAATGAACACACTAAAAAATGCTTCTCCCGGCAAAAACGGCATTTGAAGCAGGCAACCTGCTATCGCTGAAAGCAAGACACGAGGGCAGCAACGATTGCAGCAATAAAAAAGAAAAGAAATGGCACATCCAATCACACCCAGCTGGGCTACACCTGAAGCAAACCTCCTACTCGTACAAGGCCGGCCTGAAGCACAGGCACGCCGTGGCTAGCAGCAGCCTAGCAAGGGCCAAATTGCTCCTAGGTAGCAACGGCCTACAACCACAGGGCCAGCAATGGCCAACGATAAAGGAGGCCTTTACCATTGTGCTAGCTGCTGGCCTGCTGGGTGTGGTGTCAAGCATGAGAAGCAGGCAGGCAGGCACATGTGATGACGCGGAGGCACCATCGCTCCTTTCCTCGGTGGCTCCTTTTTCTCTTGTCCCCTTGGCAGATTGTGCATATGAGCAGATCCATATGGTGACAGCCAGCGCACGCATGGTCCCTGCTCAAGCCGCAGCAGCAGCAGCATATTCTTCTCAAAATGCGACGGGGGTAAGAAATTGAGGATTGTCTGAATTTTCTGCACTCACGAGTCTCTGTCTGAACTTCACTCGGGCCTCCCTGCTCAAGGGCCTGAAGCACCAGATCCCTGAAGATAAAAACAAGTCCTAATGTCAAGAGCTAAAGCATGGCATGTG